GATTGCCAATCCGTAGTCTCTATTCATAATTTTGATGCCCTTTAGAGACCTCTCCGCACATTTTATGGTTACGGTTACGTCGCGGTGGCGGGAATTAGGACAGTTGCAGAAGACGCGTATATCGGGGCGTACCGCGCGCACCTCCTCGGGCACGAGGTGATCGGGCGGATAGACTTCTTCATCGGTTGGTGGCCACCAAGGCGGGGTTGATGGGTCAGTGGATTCCTGAGGGTTTGTTGACATGGTGGATAGGATTAATAGGTGGGTGGATGTTCTTAGATTGCTGTAAGTCTGCTGAGTAAGTAGAGATGATGCTTGTTGAGAGGAGAAGAGGATAGTGATTGTTAAAGAATAAAGAAGGAGAAGGATCAGGACAGCCTATATAGACTTTGGAAACAGTAGTGGTAGAGCATCCGGAGCTTATTATCTCCGTACGAAGGTACAGTGTAGGCAGTGCAGTGATGAAACATGTACCGCACGAAAAGCGTTATTATGGTATCTGTAGAGTGTATGGACTCGCGAGGAATGATCATCTGCACCAGCAGGTCAGCTGGTGCATGCTAGTGTAAAGCTTTAGGCGGCGGGAGTAGAATATTGGATGGTATGAAAGGAGAGTATAATCGCCACTCTTCCTTGTTTTGGGTTGCTTCGCAGCACTTCCAAATATCAAGCTTACTGGATGACGCGGAGAGGCTTCGTTGATGCCAGCATTGGCGGACAATGAGCCTTGGCTGTTGAGCTAAAGCAATTGTCAACAAACCACAATTTCAACCAGCATAGACACATCTGCACAAAGATAATTCACCCTCAGCCCCATACCACATTTTTAACGATAGAAGGAAGTGTGCTTCAAGCAGCTCAAAGTATGATTTGTCCCAGCGGATGCAAGGGAGAAACGCTAATAGTATCAAGACAAGTGCGCCGCACAGATTTGTTAAATCGTAAGCTTCAGGCGTCGTCACCGGCTCGAAACTAAACAAGATTGATTTGTGATAAATACCAAATTATTAGGCTGAGTATGCGCGACAACATAAACCCTCGATAGCTGTCCCCAATGAGATTTGGTAGCCATAAAACTGCTCTTGCACCACTAGTACCTCGTTTTTCAATGCTTGGCTGCACGGACGGAGACGTTTCAATATGGTTACCCTCTCGATCATGGCGGAGATTCGATTGGATACTCCGTCTTTTTAACCGGTTATATACGTCATTATTCTACTTATAACCACCTATGAGCCCAACGACCATATGGTAAAACCCGATCCACAGTTTCATAGGAATTTCTGCTTTGCTGGCCGTCTGCCGCTCATTCACGATGACCATCCGCCGCAACCCTCCCCCTTCCTCGATATCCTTGAAAAGCGCCGAGTTGGCATTCCCAACCTTCTCAAAGTACCCGTCAATAGCGATCCCAGTACCACTACCAACAACGCGCAGCTTCACCAGAGCCCGCAGCGTACGCGCCCGATAATCCTTGTCCAACAGCTTTCCCACGACAAACATTGTCATAAGTATCCCAAGAACACCGACCACAGACATGAAAAGCTGATGCATGTGTACCATCATAAAGAACGCTTTGTGGCGCGAGTTCATCTGATTTGTCGAAAGTCTTAGGGTTAAAGGCTCGCCCGTGAGGGCAGCCGAGACGATGCTGAAGTGGAATTTTGCGTTCATGATGGTGAGGGAGCAGTGGATGGCGTAGAGGGCGAAGGTAGCCAGCATGGCTAGGATTTGAATGTTGGCGGCTAGCATTATGTATGGCTTTTCGTCCTTGAAATTTGGATAGATGAGGCGTCAAGATGTTGAGTTTTGGATAGATTGGGCTTCGATGGTGAGATTATAAGGGTTAGTATCGAGAGTCCGGTGGAGTGTTGAGCTAAAGATGATGGAGGACCGCTGCACTGTCTATCTACTTCCAACGAACAAAGAGATTAGGCAGCTAGGCTATTTCCTTACCCGCTAACACATTACATAGGAGTCTTGTACTTATTATTTACACTCGCAAAACAACACTATATAATATGTAGGCTTCTCCAAGTTCATAGAGTAAATATATGGGCGCTAGGTTTAATATAATAAATAATTAAATTAAACTCCTATTAGGTAAGTTATTTTAGTAAAATAATATTATTAATAATAAAGTAATAATAAAATCTTATCTAAAGTATAGTAATAATATTTTATATCTTCTATATAATAGCTTTATCTTTATCTTTATTTATAAAGATTACTAAAATCTATAAATATTAAATAAAGGCTAAAATAGTAACCTTAACCCTTCTTTACTATTATTTAAAAGACTTTCTTTAAAGCCTTTTAATAATCTTTAATTTTATATTTATATTTATATAATCTTTTCTAGAACTTATTTATATTTTATAATCTATTAATATATAATATTTTTATATTAAGTTTAGTTAAATATAATTTTTAATTATTTTTATAATTTTAATATTATTAATTTACTTAAGTATTATTTATTAAATTGATAATAAAGTATTTTAGAAATAAACTTAGCTAAGATATTCTATCTTAAGTCTAATTTTATTAAATTTTTTAAAGTTAAAGAAAAGCTATTTACTTATTACTTAATAATTTTTATTATTAAAAGATAAAATTTCCTTTAAAAGGAAAATTTATAAGAGATTTCTTATTTTAAAAACCTTAGAATAGAATTAAATATTTAATAGAATTAAATATTTTATTAAATATTAATTATAATAAAAACTTTTCTTTTATTTAAAAAAAATTTAAAAGAAGTTTTATTTTATTTATAATATTTAATAGCTTTAAAAACTTTTCTTTTATATAAAATTATTTTTTATTTTAATATTTAAGAGTTTTAAAAGGCTTTAAAAGGCTTAAGCCTTTTAGTAATAGCTATTAAATAATTTAAGTAGGCTAAGCTAGCTATTAACTAAAAGTAAAATAATTATATAATTACTTCTATAAGTAAGATAATAATATAATTACCTTTATAAGTAAAGTTATTTATTAAGTTATATAAGCCTTTAGCCCTCTTAATAATACTATAACCCTCTTTATAATTATAATTATTTATTATTATTATTATATATTAACCCTAAAAATACTTTAGTTTATTTATCTAGTATATCTTAACCTTTAAAGCTTATTTAAACCCTTTTATAAGCTCTACTAATAGCTATATTATTTAAGCTATTACTTAAGCTATTACCTAAGCCATTATTTAAGCTATTATCCCCCTTAAATAGCGTTATATTTATATTTATAAATAATATTATTAAAATATTTAATAGCCTTCTTTAGCTTATACTTCTATATAATTAGAATATAGTTATAGAGCTAAACTTTAATAGTAGCTTTTCTCCTTTTAAAAGCTTTTATATTAATAGCTTTTTCTTACTTTTAACTATTTATAATATACTACCTTTTAACCCCCTTAGAAAGCTTTTAAACTATATTACCTAGAGGGGCTTAGAGTCGCTTAGCTTATATTTTACTTTAGTAGCTATTATTTAAAATATACTCTTAATTAGTGGCTAAAGTAGTAAGCTTTTTATATTCTTAAGTAACTTTTTTTTAATATATTTAGTTATATTTTATAACTTTTATTATCTTTTTATTTATAAATACTTTTAACTTCTTTTTAAAAAGTAATATATTATTAGAAACTAATACTTTTTAAAGTTTTTTAAATAAAAGTTTTAACCTAAAGTTTAAGCTAAAATATAGGTTCTTATTAAAAAAGAATTAAAATAAAATCTTTTTATTTTAATAACTTTTAAAGCTTCTAAAGAAAAGTAGCTAATATTCAATATATTAAAAATAACTTTTAAAGTACTTATTCTCCTTTTATAAAATAATTATTCTTTAAAAAGTAGCTTTAAATTTAGCTTTAATAAAATAATAAAAAAGAGGCTATAAGCTAGCTATAAAGGCTTAAGTAATAATAATTTCTTTACTATTAAAAAAAATAATTCTATTAAAAAAATAACATTATTATAGAAAATTATAACTTTATTATTAAAAACAATAATTCCTATATATATAAAAGATGTTTTAGTACTTATTATCTTAAATTTTATTAGTAAAAATGTTTTTCTATTTTTAAAAAAAGATGAAAAAAGAGTAGATATATAAAGTAGAATTATAAAAAATTTTATTTTTTTTAAAAAAAGTATTTATCTTAGTAGAAAACTTTACTTAGTAAAAGTACTTTTTTATACTTGCTTTATAAAGGTACTCTTTTATACTCGCTATATAAAGGTACTCTTCTATATTTGCTATATAAAAGTACTTTTTTATATTTACTTTATAAAGGTATTCTTTTATACTCGCTTTATAAAGGTATTCTTCTATATTCGCTCTATAAAAATACTTTTTTATATTTGCTTTATAAAAGTACTTTTCTATACTTACTTTATAAAAGTACTTTTCCATATTTGCTTTATAAAGGTACTTTTCTATACTCGTTTTATAAAAGTATTCTTTTATACTTACTTTATAAAGGTACTTTTCTATACTTATTCTATAAAAATACTCTTCTATATTTATTATAAAAATAATAAATTTAATATTATATTAGTTATACTTTATCTAATCTTTTATCTCTTTTTAACATTATTACTACTTTTTTATAAAATAATTATAATCTTTTTTTTAATCTTTTTTATAGCTTTTCTTCCTATTCTCTTCTTATTTTTTACTCTCTTTATCCTTACTTTAGAATATTAGCTTTAAAATATTAAAGTAATATTATATATCTACTAGGAGATTATCTTTTACTTTCTTTATTTTAGCTCTTTTATATATTAGCTTTAAAATATTATAGTATTATATACTTATTAGGAGGATACCCTCCTATTATCCTTCCTATTTTATAATTCTCCTACCTTTTATATAGTATATTACTTTATTATATTTAACCTATTTTAAATATTTAGTAAATATATATTTATTAATCCTTCTATTTAGTTTCCTAAATATTAACTATTATTTTTCTTTTTTATCTTATAATATAGTTAATTTTATCTTGATAGAAATATAGTATTTAATAAATATTTAAGAGTATAAGGCTAATATTTAGGCTATTTTTTATTATTTTAATATATTTATTTCTAAAATACTAAAGCTAGAGAAATTATTTTACTATATTTTAAAAATTAATAACCTTATTAACTACTTATTTAAAATAGGTACTTAACTTAACCCTAACTTAGAGAAAATCTAAAGTAAGTTTTTTAAATTCTTATTACCTAATATTATAAAGAAATTCCTTAAGTTATTTACTAATATAGCTATTTATAATATATTCTACCTTCTAGATAAAGTATATTAAAAGAGCCTATATTAAATTTTAAATATTATTATAAACCTTTATTCTTATCTAATTAATTATAAAAGTATTATAGTCTAGATTAGATTCTAGTTCTAGCTATAATATAATTTAAAGCTATAAGCTTATTTCAACTAGTTAAGTAAAGAATATTAGTTAATCCTCTACTCCCTATATAAGTAGTAGGAATATTAATTTTAGCTTATATTACTTAGGCTTAAATAGAATATCTAGTCTAATATTGTTTTACTCCTAGTAAAGTTATATAATTTTACTAAAGCTTTCTAAGAATATTTTACTATCTTTAAAAAATATATTAATAATCTCCTAGCTTCTTTTATAGATTACTTATTTAATAAAGAGTTTAATTACTTTACTGCCTTATAAACGCTTTAATTAATTACTAATATCTAATTATTTAAGGCATATATTTAAGGAATTAGGTTAAAATTTATTTATTACTTTATAAATATTTTACTTTAAGAGACTCACCGCTTAAAACATTTCTATAGAGCTAAAGTTTTATTTTTATATTTAGCCTAACTTTTCTATTATATAGAAAAGTATTTTACTAGCTTAAACTAAATAAATATAAGGAATAAACTACTAGCTAAATAATACTTTTTATATAGATTATAATATTATTAATATTTTATATATATAACTTATAGTCGCTATATAAGTCTATAGATATATCTTTAGGCTTATCTACTTTATTTAATCTTATATTCCTACCTAATAAGCTTTTATATACTATTATTTTCCCTATATTTTTTATAAATCTTTAGATTTATTTTATATTTATATTATATTATAATTTACCCTATTTAGTCTATATCTTAGAGTTATATCTTAATACTTCTACTATTTATGATATAAAAAACGCTATTTTATATTATTATCCCCTTTACTTTTTTTATTTTTATATTAGAATCTATTATCCTACCCTTCTATTATATACTTTATTAACCTTTTTATTATTTTAACTAATACCTTATATACTTAATTCTATTTAGTTATTAATATATCTAAGAAAGGTTATATATTATTAAAGCCTATAATGTTATAATTTACTATTTAAATAATAATAAATATTAGTTATTACTACTAATAGCTATTCTATAGTAACTAGCTATTTAAAAAAAAGGCTTTAATAATATATAACCTTTCTTAGATATATTAATAACTAAATAGAATTAAGTATATAAGGTATTAGTTAAAATAATAAAAAGGTTAATAAAGTATATAATAGAAGGGTAGGATAATAGATTCTAATATAAAAATAAAAAAAGTAAAGGGGATAATAATATAAAATAGCGTTTTTTATATCATAAATAGTAGAAGTATTAAGATATAACTCTAAGATATAGACTAAATAGGGTAAATTATAATATAATATAAATATAAAATAAATCTAAAGATTTATAAAAAATAT